TGGAAAAAAAAAAAGAAAATGCAACCCAGAAAATAAAGAGATGGAAATAGCAGAAAAAAAGATAATTTACAGGATCAACCCAAAAGATACAACATCCAATTAATAATAATTCCACAAAACAGTAGCAAAAATAAAGGGGAGAAAAATCAACAACATAATTCCTGAAAATTTCCCGGAACTGAGGGACTTTTAAGTTTCAGTCCATTAAGAGACCAGCACATTAGATGAAAACAGCCACACCAAGAACATCGTCATAAGATTTCAGAAAGCTGAGAAAGAGAAGTTCTGAAGTTTCAGGGGTCAAAGGTAACTTACATCTCATCAACAGTGAAAGCCAACAGGCAATAGAACAGGATCTTAAAAATCTGAAGGAATATTATGTTCCAACTAGAACTCTAAACCCAGCCAAACTAATAATCAATATTAAGCCAGAATAAAGGCATTTTTAGACATGTATGTCTAAACAATTTACCTCTTGTGCACCCTTTTCTCAGAAAGCCAACGGAGAATGGCGCTTCTCCAAAACAAGAGATTCGATCAAGAAGGAAAGGATGTGGGAAAAGATAATGGGATCTAGCACAAGAGACACAGGAAAAATCATGAGGATGATGATGCTGAGACAGCAAGTATGACGGCTGGGCAGCTACCTTGAGAATATCCAGAATGGAGCAGATTAGAAGGTATCTCCAGGAAGATAAAATTTGTCATATAGCTAAAACATTTAAAGTATCAAGGAAGATTTACACTTCTGGATAGAGTTTAAAGAGGAATAACTGAGGAAAAATAGAAATTAAGCAAAACAGACCAAAAAAAAAGATCTTTATTAGCAACAGAGAAAATAAAAGGTCATGCAAGGGGCGCCTGGGTGGCTCCATCAGTTAAGTGCCTGACTTCAGCTCAGGTCACAATCTCATGGTTCGTGAGTTCTGACAGTTCAGAGCCTGGAGCCTGCTCCCAATTCTGTGTCTCCCTCTCTGCCCCTCCCCCACTTGCACTCTATCTCTCCCTCTCAAAAATGAATAAACATTAAAAAAAATTTTCTTTTAAGAAAATGAAAAGTTATGCAGAACAGGAAAATTAACCATAGCATGTAACATGACTTGGCTGTGAATAAGTTATACACAACCATAATACTGTCAACAGTGAATACTAGCCAATTAGGATTGTACTAGAAACCACTACTATCCAAGGTGGGGAGGTAACACATAATACCAAAAACTAGAAAATCAGTAAGTAGCAAAATAAGCTTATTACTTAAAGGCAATATCAAAAGAAATGGTAGAGTTGAAAGTGATTGCATTAGGGACTAGAAAGGGTTTCTGTACGTTAATAAAAAGAAAAAAGTATAACATATAAAATGCTTTCTAAAGTTAAGGAAATCAAATGCATTCATGAATTTATTCATGTCTATTACACAGTTATCCAAGACAGAGAAAAATGCGAGAAAAGCCTAAATGTCTACCAAAAAGGAAGTAGTTAGGTAATTTTAAATTATATGGCACATCCATGATGATGAAATGCCATGAGTCACTTAAAAATGCAAACAGGGAAAGACTTGCTCTTGTTAACAAGAACCAGGTGAGACAAAAAAAAGTCCAGCCCCGGTTTTGCTAAACACACACACATCCAAATAACACATGCATGGAAGGAGACTATTCACCAAAATATTAACAATGATTATACATACGTCAAGTTTATGGACGATTTTTTTCAGTATTTCCTAATGAATAAACATGCGTTATTAAAGGACTCAAAAGTTAAAATAAAAAAGGTAAGTGCCAATTCTACAACTTAGAATAGAATCAGAGAGGAGAGCAGAACTACTTTATCATCTTGTTTCAGTTTATTAAGCTGAAAAATAAGCACTGCTTAACAAGAACCCAGGACTTCCAGTAAGGAATCTTCTCGATTCCTTACCTCTTAACACAAGACTGGTTTTATAAGCCAATGAAGTAATTATTAGTTCCTTTTACCACCATGCATTTACCTTATTTAAACAATGATTCAACTTGCACCGGATCCCAAAGACACTACCTGAAAAGAACACTGGCAGTGTCACTGGCTTCTCCAATTTACAAAGTCAGGATACTATTCTGGAACGAGAAGAAACAAGCAGTGATAAGACACTTACCCAAACAAACCTTGCAGATTGTATCCTGAAATACAGATGCTAGAAATCTCTAAACAAAACCTCTACTTTTTTTTTTTAACTTTTTAAAATTTTTTTAATTTACTTTTGAGACAGAGAGAGACAGAGCATGAGCAGGGGAGCACAGAGCCTGATACGGGGCTCAAACTCATGGACTGTAAGATCCTGACCTGAGCTGAACGGACGCTTACCCAACTGAGCCACCCAGGCACCCAACAAAACCTCTACTTTAACCCTCAACTTCACTCCCAGTGGACACAGGTTTCTTTCTCAAAGAATGCTGGCCCAGAGGTCTTCTGTCTGTCTCACACACGTTTTCATGCATCCAACCCCCTGGAGTAAGGCTGCAGAATGGAAAGCTAAAACCTTCCTCTTGTATCCTGATACTCTCACTGGCAGTGTCTCAGGTGCTACAATTTGCATTATGAAAGACTGACTGGCAAACTCCATAATTTAACCTGGAGAATTATTTCAGAAGATTTAGATTACTTGAAACAAAAAAATTTAACTGAGGTATGCCAAAGTGAATTTAACAGATACATTTCAAGTTAAAACAACTCCTCATCCTCATCCCTCAAAGCACAAGAGAACCCTTCTGATCCAGTGGTTTAAATATTCCCCTATCTAAACATTACTAACATGGCCATATATCAAAGCTATGTAGTGTTATCCAAAACAAATAGGAAAACAAAGTTCCAAGATCAGCAAGTATGTAGTTAATGTCCTTACTCCTACATTATTAAAGCCTTATCATTTGTTCACATTGCTATACAGTAGGAAGCACTCAAAATTCAAATAATCTGAAGATGCAGTCTTAACAATCTCTTTTTTCACTTGTTCAGCATTCACTCAATTAAGGACACCCACCTTAACTTTCTCTGAAATCTGTGGTTTGCACATAGCAGAATCCTTGCCCAATTAGCCAGGAAAGAAAGGAATGTATTTCCTTAAGCTATGGTCTCTTGGTACATGTGGAACCCTCAGCCTAGAATGCCTCCTCCCCTCCCACCAACCAAACTCCTACTCATTCCTACAGGGGTCTCCTCCCCCAGCAAGCTGCCCCTGGTGCACTCAGGCTGAGTTAGGTACTGCTTCTTGTTGTTACCCTAGGTGTGTCTCCACTTAGATTCATCTCATTGTATCCACCAATGTCAATTTTCCTCAAAGGGCTGCAAACTCTATATACCTAACAATGATATGTATTTGCTTAGTAAACTGAAAACCCAAGCAATAAAATCTTGACCGATGCCAAAAGTAAATGTGTAATTAACATTAGGAAGTAGCCACAAAAACCTACTCTTAAAACAGGATAAGACAATTTTATTAAGACAAAATTAGTATTCCATCAGACACTTTACCAAAATAATGACAGCGTTTACATCTTAGTTGATAAGTGGTAAAAACACAGCACTTTAAAAAACTTTCTTGCAAAATATTTTTCCATATATTCTTGCGGCTTATTCTTAGAACATATTCCTAGGTTACATCAGCCAAAATTTCCTTGTTTTTAACTGCAGAGGCACAGGTGCTCATATCAGTCAGCTGCAGGGAAATCCCAATGACTGCTCCAGGATTGAGAACTGCTTAATCTGTAATGCACTGAATTAAAGAAACGGACTGATCCAATATACCCATCCTTATGATTCTAACCAAATAGTTCACTCACGCTCGCTCTCTCGCTCTCTCTCTCTCTCTCTCTCTCACACACACACACACACACACACACACACACACACACACACACACACACACACACACTTCCCCTTCCTTCCATTTTACTACCCCATCGTGTTTCCTATTAATCAACCTCCTCTTGGACACTGGAAAGAATTTTATCACCCCAGCAAGTCTTCAATCTTCCACTGTTGCAATGGGTGGAGAAGCAAATCTAAGGACCTAGCCCTTAGTTATTCTGTGACAGTGAGGAGACACATGAAGCCCTGAGTCACCCCTGCTACCAGTTTTTATGCGCCCTCCCCAACTCGTCCTGTGTCATCTGGACATAGTCATACTTTGCAGCTTGTCTCTAAACCTCCCTTGGTCAAATACCAGTAGACTATTAGCTGGGACACTCTGACACTGCCAACAATATAGCTTTTCCCCTTCTACACAATTTCCCTTCTAACTGTCCACTTACCAAACAAAAATTTATTAAGTACCTACCACGTTGCCAGGCACTATCCTAGGCAATGGTGTTTCAACAGTCTAAAAATCTCTTCATTTCTGGAGCTTACATTCTAGGAGGAAGTTGGGGGCACAGAGACATGGGTGAACAGGGCCTTGCAAGCCATTTTAAGGACTTTGGTTTTCTTCTGGATAATGTGGGCAGCCACTGGAGTGTTTTCAGTGGAAGAGTTAACATGCTGAGAATTATGTTTTAAAAGGATCATTTTGGCTGCTGAGTGTAGCAAGGTCAGAAGAAATTGGGAGATATTGCCTATAATAATCCAGGTAAAGGACAGGAGTGGCTTAGACTAGAGGGTATCTCGGAAGACTCCCGTGTTCCAGATATTACCAGACCTTGAGTTACAACACAGTTCCTAAACCCGACCAAAGGATAAACACTAATATTCTTAGGACCGCAGAATTTGTACCCCGCTATGGTTGAAGACTTAATTTTTTTTTTCTTATCTCACCTCAGGCACCCACAGTAATCTTTTACTGAGATTAAGAACATAAAGAAAACACAAGGATGACCTTGCATGCTCCTATGAACCGGAGTTCAGAGCTAGTCTCCTTTAAACCACCAAGTATTACTTGCATGTGTACTACCTTAAAGACTAATACAGCATGAGGATACCAATAAAAGTGAACAAAAGAGCACAGTGTCTTCTATTCGAGTTTACCCAAAGTATCCACCAAAGAACAATATTTAACATTAGCTACTTCCCCTTGAAAAAAATAGTAGGGATTGAGGAGATTATGATAGCTGACAAACCTTTAGTGTTTTAGCACAGAAAACTGTGCAATGTCTGCTTTAAGTTCCTTCCATGGCATCAATCAGAATGGAGAATGAATCCAAGGCTGGTGACATTACTACATATGGCTTTGTAAAGAGAGATACTTCCAAATGGGTCATGTATGCAGAGGCTTCTACATTAAGGGGTCAGCAAATGATGCACTCAGACCAAATCTAGCCCAACTTTTTTTTTTTTTTTTTTTTTACCACCCACGAGCTAAGAATGATTTCTACATTTCTTAATGGTTGAAAAAAATCAAGAGTATTTCAGGATGTGTGAAAATTCTATGAACTTGTAACGTCAGCATCTATGAATAGTTTTATTGGAACAGAGCCACATTCCTTCGTTTACAGATAGCTGCTTTCACACAACAGCAGAGTTGAGTAGTTGCAAGAGAGACTGCACATAGTGGTCTTACCACTTCGCACTACTACAAATTTCAGTGAAGTGGTTATGGCCCAAGAGTAGTTCAAAAGTACCATGCATTCTGTCATATCACATTTTATTATTATTTTTAAATTACCAGTGTATATCCAGATGCTGAAACAAGAAGCCAGGGCACCTGGGTGGCTCAGTTGGTTAAGCAACCGACTTCAGCTCAGGTCATGATCTCATGGTTCATGAGTTCAAGCCCCACATTGGGCTCTGCGCTGTTAGTGCAGAGCCTGCTTCAGAACCTCTCTCTCCCTCTCTCTCTCTGCCCCTACCCCTCCCACACGTACATGTGTGCGTGCACACACATGCGCTCTCTCTCCCCAAAACAAACATAAAAAAAAAACGATGACAAAAGTGGACTCTGAATGTTACCCATTTAAGGGCAAGTGTGAAGTGTGGATTATTTTAACAACTTATATGGCAAAACACTGTCTATTATGAAAAAGCACCATGGCTGTACCAAGAAAACAATATCCATCAACACTACCAAACTAAGAACTCATCACAATAATCCCATTTCACAGAATTTTACTAGGAAGATTAGAAAATTTGGGGCACCTGGGTGGCTCAGTTAAGCGTTCAGCTTCAGCTCAGGTCATGATCTTGCGGCTCATGGGCCCAAGCCTCGTGTTGGGCTCTGTGCTGACAGCTCAGAGCCTGAAGCTCACTTCAGATTCTATGTCGCTCTGTGCCCCTCCCCAACTCATGTTTCTCTCTCTCCCTCTCTCAAAAACAAACATTAAAAAAAATTTTAAACAGAGTATCTCATCACAACAGAAAACCTTCACAAAAACAAAAAATAAAAATGAAGCTACAACCAAAGTAAGTTTCTGAGTGGTTCATTTGTCAGCTTAACAAGGAAAGCCATTTATTTAGTGGGTTGATCAAATCATGTTTGCGGCAGCAGCCAGAGAAATGTGTCCATAGAAAATGAACTCATTGAGAATGCAAACTGGCGCAGCCACTCTGGAAAACAGTATGGAGGTTCCTCAAAAAATTAAAAATAGAACTACCCTACGACCCAGCAATTGCACTACTAGGTATTTATGCAAGGGATACAGGTGTGCTGTTTCGAAGGGACACATGCACCTCAATGTTTACAGCAACACTGTCAACAATAGCCAAAGTATGGAAAGAGCCCAAATGTCCATCGATGGATGAATGGATAAAGAAGATGTGGAGAATATATATACACACAATGGAGCATTACTCGGCAATCAAAAAGCATGAAATCTTGCCATTTGCAACTACATGGACGGAACTAGAGGGTATTATGCTATGTGAAATTAGCCAGAGAAAGACAAATATCCTATGACTTCACTCATATGAGGACTTTAAGAGACAAAACAGATGAACATAAGGGAAGGGAAACAAAAATATATAAAAACAGGGAGGGGGACAAAGCATAAGAGACTCATAAATATGGAGAACAAACAGAGGGTCAGTGGAGGGGGTGTGGGAGGAGGGATGGGCTAAATGGGTGAGGGGCATTAAGGAATCTACTCCTGAAATCACTGTT